AGGCAGGCAGGTGTGGCACTTCACGCAGATACACTTGAAATTCAGTGTCTTATCAATGTCAAGAAAAAAGTGTCAGGTCATCTCAATGTAGTATGTTTCATGTAGTACTTGAACATAGACAACAGACTCATAGAACATTTCTAGTAAAGTGCACTGTAGATCTTTAGCATTCCTCTCCTCCAATAAGATTGCTCCTTATGGCAATTAGTTCTCCTGGGGCAAAAGAATCGACATTGGTACACTTGTCTTCCGACTGCTAATCTGAATAAGGACCTCTACGGCCTGTCCGTGTACACCGCAGGGCACAATACAAAACTAGGACCCATCCCTTTCATCCCAGATAGACTTGAAATTCAGTGTCGTATCTTAGCTAGAGTTTCGCTCGATGTTTGCAAATTTAATTAATTTTACAGAGAACCTAAATATTCGAAGATATTCTGTAAATAGTTTTGAGATTTCATTTAAATTATTCTATTGAAATTGGCTGTTTAAATTTGATGTAAACTTTGTGTATCTAAAGGGGACGACTATTGTAGGACCCCTTGTCAAACATGCAATTCTCATTTTCACTCGCTAGCCAAAGGTTACTATTCCCGGATGAATTCTGAAATGAAGAATTATGATCTTCACTTGCTAGTCAAACGGGACTATTCTAGGCCCCTTTCAATTGTTCGGTAAGCAGCAGGCAGGCAGGTGTGGCACTTTACGCAGATACACTTGAAATTCAGTGTCTTATCAATGTCAAAAGTGTCAGGTCATCTCCATGTAGTAAATTCCAAGTAATACTTGAACATATGAATATGACATGGCACAATATGATAGAAACGATATAGAAATTGCATTTTATCATTTGCTAGAGTTAAGTTGTAATGCAGTATGTTTTCATAAGTAAAGTGAAGGGTAAATTGCTTTTGACCACCACAAGTGGACGTTACTGAGCACTGATTTGATTGGCTGATTAGAGTGTATCTCAAGGGGACTTTACACAATGTGCGGAATGATTTTCGCTAATTTTTAGACTGAAAATGTCACAGTGGTAAAACAACAAATTACTCCTGGTTTTTTTTGTTCTAGGTTCTAGCTACGATTGTTGTTCCACTTGAGTTTTGAGGGTTTTATAATGTCAAGAGTGTGTCAATAAAGGAAACTACAACTAAGAGAAAATACAACTAAAAACCGTGCACAATTTGTTAAATGGGGATACTTGCAGAAGCCTATCTCAGTCAATTACACTGTATAGCCATTTCAACGATTGTAGGCCCTCTTACCCGATTTATCATTCTTGTTCCCGTTTCCTTTCCCTTTATTTTGGCCGTACACACATCTAATTAATTATAATTTTTTTAATCAAAAAATCAAATAAAGTGCTATATGACATGAGTAGCTAGAGCAGCGTATAACATATCTCAACAAAATTGTATCTTCTTCATTCAGCTGGTAAGTGTTATCCTCTTGATAAATACAAAATAACTATGTAGAGAAATATACAGTAGTCTGCATAATTACAATTTTGCATTTTATGTACAATCATTTATTCAAATCAAACTTTTTGTGCTTCAGGTAAAATGAACACTCTAAAACCTTGTGAGCTTTCTATTCATGTCCAGATATTGTGGAAACTACATAGATAAACTGAAAAGAGAAGAAAATAATGATATTATCAGCAAGAATTCAATATCTACAATGATCTAATGAATTTAGTGAAAAAAAAATATTAAGAGCAGCTTCACACAAAAACCAGACAAAACTGGAATTTTTTGGCAAGGCTCGAAAAATCAAATCTATTCATATTTTGTATATTGRTAARGTATGATWAGGTWACAATCGCTGTGTAATTTGTTTTTGAAAATATTTCATTTTTCGCAAAAAATCACTAAAGAATGTTACATACTGGGCCTTTGGGTGACAAATCCTTGATTGCTAAAAATAGCTCTCAAAATAGCCAAACTTCATACTGAGTTCATGTAAAAACTAAAATTAATATAGCTATTTTAAAAAATTGAAATTGCTGCTTTCTTACTAACGCTTTTTTTATTTATTTCATTGATTTTCAGGCCACTTAGGTAAAATGTTCTGGAACTCGAAATATTACTATTAATATGTATTTTATATGCAAATTAGTACCTTTACAAAACGATCATTTTTATAATGTGCAAGTATTTTGCTTGAAATAAAATTCAGAGTGAATACTAAAGAAGAGATGAGCTTTTCAAATACATAAAAATTAGTCTAGGCAAATCATTCTCAGTTGCATAGAAATGAATATTTCTGGTGATAATAATCAGTTGAAACACCAAATGTTTTAAACAACTGAAATTCATTTACACTGCCTAAAATGTTCAAAGAAAATAAGCTTAACCCTTTGTATCTTAATAACATACATCTAATGTTGAT